CTGGAATAGTACTCACGATATGATTTGCCGTCTTCTCGAGCTTCGGCCAACAAATCAAGCTTTTCTCGAGTTCTTAGTGACAGCGAAAGGGAGGGAGGAATTTAGTGATGCAAAAATTACTCGACCTACAGGAGAAATGTGGTGTTACCTGCAGTGTCACGACAGGCTTCTCGTGATCTTTGAGTTGGTAGCGAAGGTGCTATCAGGAGAAACCTACCCAACGATAACAATGGTTCCTCCGTGTGTGCGATTAATTGATGAGCGACTGACCAACAAGATGTGTTCGCCAATGTTTCCCCAGCTCATAAGGGCGAGCTTTACTATAAGGCAGTCCTGAAAAAAATGTATCTCGTTCGCCGTCGCTTTCTGTTTCTGCTCCGAAAGCGATTTTGTGAGCTACGTAACGATGTAAAGTACTGCTGCTTGCTGGATCCGTAGTTCGCACATGGAGATCCGTTTAGCGCAGACGAAATGGCAGAGGGGAAAGCGTTTTTGGTGAGTGAGGCGATGTACTCGACAGGGGCTGATATTGACGACGTGGACTCCAGTACGAGCCTGGATGAGGAGAGCGACGAAGAAGAAGAGTTTATGAATGAGCTACTTGGAGGAAATCGAAGTTCAGCAGAGCCTCGCACACATGAGGCATTAACGGTGCGACAACAGGTGAACGCGGAGGTTAATAAATATCTTGAAAATGCGCATAAGATGGCATTGATCGAAAAGCAAAAGAAGAAGGCGGAAAAGAAACAAAAAAACGAAGAAGAAGCTGGAAAACGGACTAGTGTGTGGAGACAAAGTTACGGCGATTATCCGCTCCTGGCACCAGTTGCCAGGAACTTCTTCGGCATTGTTGCAACTTCAGTGTCATCGGAACGCTGCTTTTCGTGGACAGGTAATGTTATCACAGCTCGGCGAAACAGGCTAACGGGCTCCAACGTCAGAGATCTGATTTTTCTTTATAGCAACTCGGTGGAGGAGGGATCAAATGAGGCGGAATCTAATTTTAAGGTTTATAGACTGCGTAACAGCACAGCAGAACATCACGATTAGTAATTTTGCCGTTTTGGGCCGTTCGGCTCTTGCGAATAATAGCGATAAGAGCCTACCGGTGGCAATGTGTATGATATGTCACTTCAATCCGTAGCCCTTTCACGTTTTGATCCACTCCCGTTGGTTTAGATGTAGATACACGAGCTTCCGCGTCTTTCGCGCTTTGCACACTATACAGCCCACAGGGCCGATAGCAGACATGTCCAGGCACTAGAAGCATCGGACAGCTTCTTGCCGATCTGTTGTCGGGATCCTCGTCGCCCAAGGTCTCACACGAATCCAAAACGTACTACGTGATACGGTCAGGTTTTGTGGACACGCAGGAGCCAAACTTTGAAGTCTTGGTGAGCCCCGCGGTCTTGGCGAAGCCGTTTAGGAAGGCCTCAACCCCCAAGCGCTTATCCACACCGTTGCATCCGCTGGCTTATCGCGCAATGAGCACGCACACTGATGAGTTGTGCATCTGCAACAAACTATAGAGCCGGTCGTTGTACTTTGTGTCTGGAAGGCGAATGAGTAGGAGTCGGAAGCGGACGTACGCTCCGTTACGCTGTACTCCGTACCCAGAGTCTTGACCGCTCCATCTGTCAGTAAGCTTTTCAGTTTGGCAAAAATGTAGGACCCACGTGGGGAAGTCAGTGCTGGGCATTCTTCCGTCGACCCAGGCTTCGTCGTCACCGGTGTGATAGTACTTCAGGTAGCTGGCAGGATCGGCTGACTCGTGATGTCGCAGTTCTTGTCGAGCTGTGTATGGCCACAGTGCCATCCGGCTGCGGCCAGTAGTTTAGGCTGTAAAAGATGTTCATCGTCACGGAAGTTCAGCATGCCCACTGTCTTATATGCAGCATGCCGGTGACGACAGGATAACCAGACCTGCAGCACGATAACAAGTTAGCTGCGACACAAGAGTACCATTGATCTTGCAAAACATGATAAGACCTATATCAATGAATTCGTTTTGGATGCCAACTTTACGTCACAGAAAACGCTAGCGGGAACTTTCGGACGGGAGCGGGAACCTCGAAACCTTGACGCTAACACTGTTTACGTCCCATCACTAATACCGGTACAGTTGTATCCAGCTAAGCACAGCCGGTATACTTAACACTTCTACATTTTTTTAAAAGTTGTAGAAGTGTTACGCTTCTGTAATTAAACCGCATAATCGTTCAATTGATAAGCAGGTATATATATTTTCAACCAATTCTGTATAAGAGTTACTTTTAAACACTGTTATAGCTCGTAAAAATGCGAACTTTCCAGCGGTGTTGCTATTATGTAAACCTAAGACACGCTGCAGAACCATTCCAGTTTGGAAAGCATTGAAGTTTACATTAGTGTAACACTTCTACAAATTTTAAAAGTTGCAGAAGTGTTACGCTTATGTAATGAAGCCGTATAAACGCTTTTAATTGAAAAGCAGGTATATCTATCTTCAACCAAGATCACGATCTGACTGTGACGAGCCTAGCCACTTCTGTCTTCGAGATTTTTCTTGGAGATCCCGCAGCCATTTACGCGCTCGAGGGATCCATTGAGCTCCTCTGTAGTGAAACGTTTCCCTTGAGACGATACGGCGGGTGGCGACAGCGTTGTTATTCAGTTATAAAAGCCTTTATGCGCTCGCATGGAGACCACCCCCTCCATGTTTGCCTTTGATGAATGAACGGTCGCTCGGCGACGTCGTGTTTGCAAATTTTATGTGCTAGTGACTTCTCTATTGTTTGTTTTATGTCCCGATGCTCCGAAGTTCGGTGCTTCGTAGTTTTCTCCTCCTCTGTAATACTGTATTACTTATATCTGGTCTGATCTCGATTCGACTTATTAATGCTTAAAATACCGCTTTAATCTGATCTCGAGTCAGCTTCTTATTACTGTAAATACTGGAATAGTCTAATGTTGACCCATTACTGTAAAGTAGTCTGCTCTCGAGTCAACTTATTAATCCTGTAATACGGGTATAGTCAGATGATGAAGATGCTGACTAATTACTGTACAGTAGTGTCAAGTCATATATATAATAAATACCGGTATACTGACATTCCTATCTCAAAGGGCACAATCTCAAGAAATATGTGTTAGCAAATGAAACCACAGAAATTCAAGATCACGATAATCGTTTCTCAAAGGGCACACTTGCAGAAACGCTGATCTACCGGCTCTTCAGATTCTGGGACTCTGGCAAATTATTCCTTCACTTGGTGTTTGTAAGCAACCAGATACAGCTACAATCACAAACCCTGATGTTAAAAAGTGGTATCCTTAGTGAAGCTACAATCACAAACCTTGATGTTAAAAAGTGGTATCCTTAGTGAACAAGATGAAACTGGATGTCACTTATCCGGCTAGCTACGAGACTTGCATCATGTGAGTGGAGGTACTGTAGCTGCCTTTTCAGCACCACCAAAAACGTGGTGCTATAAAATGTGAACATCGTGAAATGTGTTTTCGTACAGTACTTGTACAATTCGGAGCTTGAATCTCTGGTGATAAACTAACTATTAAAGTACGAGAGCCTTGACGCCTTCAGATGTTGTGCTACATGCAGTAGGTGAGGCTACTGAGTCTAATGCTGTCGATACAGGTACTGTATATGGTAGAATGAATTTGGTGTACCGATAAATTGAACTTTAATGTCTGTACCTCCTATGTTCCTGTATTTCAAATCACTGCCTCCTCTATTGTCATTTAGTAATCAGTGAGCCCTTTGAGAAAGGAATTTCGGAAGTCTGATGTTGACGTACAGTACAGTCTGATCTCGACTACACTGTGATATAAAATAAGAACTGTACATTAAGTAAAATGATTAGACTCTAATCTCGACTAGTACCGTATGCGACTTTTGATAATAAAAAGATTATTTGTTTGTACCGGTACCAGATGGTGGTTCAAACGGCCTTCTATTTGGGCATGCTTTTTTTGTTTGTACCAGATGCGTGAGTGATGACCTTTATGATGTGGTACACATCATGTGAGAATGTAAGAAACCACACTTCAATCTGAGAAAATGACAGGAGAAAGCAAAGCGTAGTATGAAGGTCCCCGTTGCTCGGTGCATTGCCAGAATACGGCAGACGACCAGCGGAGAGGAGCACAAGCGCAAGCGAATGAAGAAGTCCGATCCGCCATCGCACGCGTCAACGTCGGTTGACTTATTCGACGAGAGGCTGCGCGACGTCTTTTCCTTATGTGCGGCAATTCCATTGGTGAGTGGGGGGCGAATTTTTTTATGATATTTTTGGCTATTTTCTATGTCATGTCATTTCGGCTTCTGTTTATGACATGTTGGCTTTTTTATAAGTCAGAGGATTTATTGTATGTTGAGGGGCTTAATTGTATGCAGCTACAGTAGGCAGGAATGCGAGTGTTTCCATGCACGGTTTTCTGTTTTTTTGGGTGATTATATAGTTTTCTGCTTGATGTTTCTAGACTAAATATGCATTATACATGCAGCTGCTGGCCTGTAACGTAGTACGATTCTAGCTGGGTACACTGTTGTGTCCCATCTGGTACGAGTAGCTAATCGCTCTTGTCAGTTTTTCAACCCAAAGGCGCTGAGCTCCACTCATTCCTCAAATTCGATGCTCCAGTATCGCTTACTGCCTTCGTCGTTAGTTATATGATCGGCCAATTAGAATGCTCCAGTCGACAGCACTAGTGGCGACCACTTGATTAGCAAGTATATAGCATACTGCGACTTTCGAGGCCTGTCACGATCCAGCATCTTGTCTTTTTCTGAGACCGTCCAGGTCTCTTCCGAGCAGGTTGGTTTCGTAGCATAACCTGTAGGTCTACGGAGTCTACGAGATATAGACCTGCCAAATCGTGAGCGCAGAGCCAGCCGGTCTGGTAAAGCTGCTTACAGTCGCACTTGAGCTTACGGCGAATTATTTGGATCTCGTCGTTGCTCCAGGAAGGGCTGTCTTAATCGTGGTCGAACGGAATATCCTCTAAAAATCCACGACGTGAATCGAAAAATAGCGCAGCTGGAAGCTTTCCACCTTCTCGTTTTGCTTGATCTTACCTCTGAGCAAGACTTTGTAGGTTTTGGTTCGATTGCCGTTAGGGTTGAGGCCGTCGGTCGTCATTGCGTACGATGTATTGCTCGGCGTTAAAAAACGTCCTTGGATGCTGTTAATTGCCCGTGTGGACTTTTGTCTGTGCGTAGGGTAATGATTGTGCTCTTCGCATAGTGCCACCGCCATCAGCAAATCTTGTGCGCTTACTGGTCCAGTCGCATTATGCCTGATAGGCTCAGAGCCGATGTCCATCGCACATTCGACGAAGATTTTAGGCAAAGTTCCAGCCAGAACGTACCCCATCGCTGCTCGAAGATGACTTACTACCGTGGGCTTGATTGTGCAATTATGGGATTCAATCGGATTTTGGTTTGGTAGCACTCCAGCAGTGTCACTTGCAGTATAGAACCACAAATCCCAGGGGTCTGTAGGGTATTCATCTCTAAGCCACATGCGTACTCGGATTTACCTAGCGTCTCCCATTCCTTGACCACTAGCTCGAATAAAACCTCGAACTGGCTAAGCAAGCGCTTCGCTGAGGTAATCTAGTATCAGCTGAATGATTTCTTGGTAGCGCCTACTTGTAGACAAAAAAAAACATTTTTGCCTCTGGCATTGCGATACCAATGTGGCCAGCAGTTCAGATGTTTAATGCCAGGCCAGACTTGGCTAAAGGCTCTTGCAATAGCGGCAGAGCGATCCATTGATCCGTAGTTAAGCTTCAAAGTTCTCCCAAAAACTTAATCACATTTGGCCCTGCAGACAGTAAAAAGCCATGCATACGTGGAGGCTCTTTCCGTCCGAGTGAACATGAACGCCATTGGGTAGAAGTTCTGTTGATACTTGTTCAGTACCGTGTAATGCACCGAACGGAACTTGTGTCCATCCGCTAAAATGAATCGTATAAGTATCATCCGTCACACCAAGCTCTTTCGATGATCTGTCGATCAAACGTTGGCCAGTACTTGCCTAGAAGCAGTTCTGAACAATCGTCTGGACGTGATGAGAATCCCGACAGAAACCTCTCCATTCTCTAGAGGATCTGTAAAGCAATACAGTACAAGTAGCTCGTGCTGAAAGTTGAATGACTGCTGACAAACCACAATGCATCCGTGCCCAAATCATACTCGAGGTGCTGGTGAAATTGCTCCAGCGTTGTGCACATTCTCGGAGAGGCCCACTCCATCACGTCGGCGTATTTTGTGATTGAAAAAGCTTCACGTCTTTGTAGTCTCTGTGATCGACTCTTCAGCTGCTTGACACTAGGGTAAATCGCACACCGATCTGGCGAATTCCTATATCGAAATTGAAGTGCTGTCAAACATTTCTTATGACCTTGACCGGAGTCGATGTCCCTTCCGTCTTCCAATCGAATTCGGACTCAGATTCCGAGGGCAAAAAAAGATCACGGGATGCCGAACGGAGCCCATCTGAATATCATGACGTCTTGACGGCGAGCATGCGCTCTGCGGCTTCTAGCTCGGCCCTAGGCCGGTCAATAGCGAGTGCTGCACAGTCTAAAGAGACCCCAAGACGCTTGAGCGGGCGCATCAAAGACAACTTAAAAATTGAGTTATGTGGGAATGCTTAGAAAACTCCGTACGAGGCTTATTTTTTCTAGATTTAAAATTTTCTTAGTTTATCGCCTGGAATAGAGCGCTACCTACTCTAATACCGAAAATAACGTCAGATTACAATAGATAGTGCACTACATAGAGCGCTATATCCTCTATAACAGAAAACCCCGTCTGTAACAGAAACTCCCGTCTGGTCAATGTCGTCAATCCAACGCACAGAGCAATACCTGCTCTTTCACTGAAAATAACGTCAGCTTATTATGGTCAGCAATACAAAACCACATGTAACGACCTTATTACTGCAAACATTGTCAGCTCCTAGCTGACAATATAAAACAATAGAGCGCAAATAATTTAATTTCATAGAAAGCATCTGTCGATAATACAAAGAAGCCCCTTGAGTATAATTGATTCCCCTTAATATAAAATAGCCTTTCTGCTCATAGAAAAAAGTTTTTCCTTGGTGAGTGGTGTGTATGATATGCTTTTGGATTGTCAGTACGAGGCTCACGATATTGATGACGGCTGTATTGTGGTAGATTGAGGAAAACTTGTCGTCAATCCAGATCGATGACGACGATCCGGCATTCCTGTTGGATAAACAAGAGGACAACGTGAGCACGTTTGTAGCTGCAACAAACGGCTTGAGCGCGGCGCAAGCGCCTCCATGGCTGCGAACGCCACTAATCACGGCCCGCTCCTTTATAGACGATGTCATCTACAGACTCGAGCCTCCACTGGCAGGAGGCCGCTTCGGGCATATAATGCTGGTGCCTAATAACCATCAGCAGCATACTGCCGCTGCTGCGACGTTGATCACTTTACAGCACGATGAATTCTTGCAGGATGCCATGCGGTTGGCCCTCCTGACCCTTCCAGTCGTCAAAAATGTTGTGCGATACTTCGCCTTCACGGCTCACCTTGCCGACTCAAGAGTGCAGAAAGTGCGACTGAATAATCTGCCGCCGAGTCCCCGCAATGGACGACCTATGCGTCAGCTCTTCATTTGATGTACTTTCATCTATGCGCCTACCGACTTCACAGCGCTTGTGATCCGCGTAGTCGCATCATGCGTCAGCAGGAATGTGAGCGAGATAGCACCTAGTAAGTTAATTGTAGTTGATGTCGTGCGTCCAATGTTCGGATAGTGACGTGTTCGCACTGGGCTTCATTTTCAGAAATACACATTTTGACCCCAAAACCGTATTTAACTAAGCTACTAAGGCTTTAACCCTGTCCTTACCAAAATGGTACAAACGGTAGTATTTTGCAAAAGAAGGTGAATGCCCATCCCAGCTGTTACTGAAACTAAGTTGTTTTCTTCAACCCTACCGCAATCTAGTACTCTGCAACTCAGCGAGCTAGATCTTAATCCAGCCAATCGCGAGTGAATAAAGGTCAACAAAGAAACCAAACTATTGCCTCGGTTTCATTGTACCTTTAAGGTCCATAGCACCCCGGCTATGCAGTCTATCGGCGCTTTCTCTCCCGGGTCTATTCTTTGTTGTCTTTGCTTAGTTTGCTTCCCCTCGGCTCAGGTAAGACAGTATACGTGCTTGTGGTCCGTGAGCACGATTCCCGCGCTCAAATCCCCGGTAAATCCTTCTACCACGTCATAGTTTAAGTGCCCCAAGGTCCGATGGAACTTCACTAACGTTCCGTGCTACACGACTTGTGACTGTGCCGCCGGTGCGTCCACTCCTTCCGACAGCATCGCCATAATCGCACCCGACACGGGTTCCTGGCGCCGCCCCACCGCGCCGAGGATATATACCTCTGGACTCCCAACGAAGAAGCCCAGACGCCCCAACGAAGTTCCTTCACGCTGATTGGCTAGATTTCCATAGGTTTCACTGTTATTTTTAGGGTGGAACGAAGGTGCTACTCTGGCAAGAAAGCAGTCGAGCAAAAACGTTCCCTGACAACAAGCTGCCGGCATGCCAATTGACTTAGTCGGTGATTATGGGTATTCGGAGGTTGTTCTACATGCCATTTTTCCGTCTGCAGATGTGGGTGGGAAATTTGTATCTGCTTTTGCATCTAATTCCAACAAGAGTGTACGCCTCGCGAAAAACAACGGCAACTACAGGCGATGGGCGTGCACGGCACTAGAATGTAAGTGGTTTGTATCGCTCGCACGCAAACGCATTAGGAAGGACCCGAAGAGTACCCGTAAGAGACCTGAGACTTCGCTGAGCCACGTCCCGGACAATAGCTGGTATATTTCGAAGATGGATTTGACCCACATGCAGTGCTGCCCCAGTACCGCCAACCCGACTGGAGACCAAATTGCCCGCATGCCTGCTTTCCGTGCTGGCATTGTTGAGGGTCACAATACCTCCAAAGCGCGAATTATTAATAATTTGAAGCAGGTGGAAGGTGTGGACGTATCTAGGAAACATTCCGTGCTACATCGTGTAATTAGTGACGCATTGAAGAACATGGAGAGTGATGATATTAATGAATTCCAAGCGCTACCAGCTTACATGGAATTGTTCGCGTCCCAAAATCCAGGATCGAGAGTGTGCTGCCAATTAGATAGTTTTGGTAGATTTTTTCGCAGCTTTCTTTGTGGTTCGCATTCAAGATTCACTACTTCCTGTTTGGGAGTGCGATGGCACTCACATCAAGCACCCCCGCTACAATGGAATTTGTGTTACCTTAGTTGGCAAAGACGGTAACAAGAAGAATATTTCAGTAGCAGCTGCTTTTATTCACAAAGAAACCATTGACAACTTCGTCTGGTTTTTCTCAAACTGTATTGCTGCTGGAATCGCTATGCATGATCGACCTACGTTCGTAGATCGAGGTAAGCAACTGTCTGCACAAGCTGTTCTGGCTCGCGTGGGTCTGCGGGTAAATCTAAAGTTCTGCGCGGTTCATATCCGCTTCAATACTGTCGACAAGTTTAAATCTGTGCAGGTTACTAAAGACAGTGTCAACAAACTCATCATGCAATTGCAAAAGTCCACCACTGTTCGAGCATTCGAGCAAAACGTTGCTGCCATAGAAAAAGCATTTCCTACCGGTGTTGTTAGTGGTTCAGGCGGGCAACGGAAAGAGGAGCATGTTTGGTCGTACCTGCGTAGCATACATCCGATCAATTGGACTGTAATTGGTAACAGTACGTTGAGTGCTGATGAACTCAATTGGCTAGAACAAAACTGGACAAACGCACCTGTATATGGCACCGCTACACCGTTGTTTGGCGTTCGGTCTACTAGCGGCGTGGAAGGCGACAACAACGGACTGTTATGGAATCGCACTCGTAATAATCTGGTGTTTCGGTCACTGCGTGCATACTGCTTACGCGCTCTCGATACCCTCAACAAACTGTTTGCAATAGCACGAAAATGGATCAAATCAAATCACGGTCTCACACCTCATGCGATGACACTTTTTAATAAGGAAGAGAAACTCGTTACAGAGCTCACCGTCGTTCACGCGAAGCTGTCGGAGCTTTACGTCTTCAACCCATTTGACCGATCAGACGTAGCATCTGCAACAAAGATGTACAAAGTAGATATGAGTTTCGGTAAGTGCGAGTCGTGCAGAGTGTGGGAGCAGCTTCACATACCCTGCCGTCACGTACAAGCTGTCTTGATCGAATTAGAGCGGCAAAACTCTGGGGCAGTGCCTTTATATCGCACCTACGAATATTTTCATCAGGCATATTTGGTTAGAACAATCCACGCAGCTCTAGCCGAGATGAACATCAACTTACCAGTCGACAATATTTTAAGCGCAGGACCTACTGTTCTCCCAGCTCCAATTTATCGTCAAGCTGGAGGGGCCCGCAAAAAGCGGAATGCAGACATTCAGCACGGCGAAAAACGGATCCGTAGCAGGGGCGAGGAGTCTGGTCCATCTCGATCTAAAGCAATGCTGGATACACCGAACGAGATGCGACCGTCTCAATTAAACGAGCATGACGACACGCCTTTTATACAGGTGTTTTATAAGTCTCAGCTATCTGCAGCACAGCCACAGCAGCGGCCCACATATCATTGCAGTCGGTGTGGGCTAGATGGGCACAATATAACTACTTGCACGTACACCGAGCAAGAAGAAGAGGGAGAAGACTCCATCTCCCCGGGCGTGTATGTGCTTGGGATTCCACCGTTAGTCAGCCGCGGCGCTGTTCATCTAACACAGGAAGCTGAAGAACTTTAATTCTAGCACGCATCTATCACGAGTAGTTAGCAAGATCACTCCGAGTGGCTAGCAGAATCTAAATGACAACTTACACGCTTTAGTTATGCTTCATACCTCGCGAGATTTCGTTTTGCATCAGTTTACCTGTAGCGTGCGAGCAAAAGCATTTTAGTTTTCAGCACCTCTTCGGCATCTTCACTAGCACATAAACTTTAAAGACTCACCACGTGATGGCGCGCTGCATCCCGACGAGGTGCGAGATCCTCGTAGTGCAGCACCTGCTTGACTGTAAATGACCTCACCGAGTCATGAATTTGTTAGCCAATCAGCGTGAAGGAACTTCGTTGGGGCGTCTGGACTTCTTCGTTGGGGAGTCCAGAGGTATATATCCTGCACCACACACCTTCACACGGAGCCCTAATGAGCCCTTCTTGATCTCAACCAGCGCCACTCTGGTCGGTTGCTCCAGCATGTCCTCGCAATAAGCTTCCTCGTCCAACCACTACTGGGTACCTGCTGGACCCACTGGCTAGGATCCAAGTCTCCTCCAACGCACTCGTCGATTCGTTCACGGTCAACATAAAGTTATGCTCGCGATCGGAGCAATTAGCCGGCAGATGTCCGACGGCGCCGCACTCATGGCTCAGCCTTCTCTCTTCCCTCGGTGCGTCAGATACGACCGCGACGAGCACTCTGCCCCATTTCCTGTGTTGTGGCGCGTCGAGCTCCCACGATTGCACCAACTGGACCAGCACTTCCGCCTGCGCGAGGTAAACCGCTCTGCTGGCGTCCACCTTCGCCATGAGGACGACAAACTTCTCGACGGCGTACTGAACAGTATTATTCAGTAGCTGGTAGTCCGCAATTCAGCCGCACACATCAAAACTCGAATGAGGTACATGCTACTTTCGGACCAGCTACACCAGACGTTCTTCGCCACAGTGAATAATCGCATCGCTTGGGCTGGAGTAATGTTCGTCTTGAGCGGTTCAAGCATTCGCTCCATGATGTACGGCAGGATCGGGAGCTACGCCCACCACAGCTCGCCTGGCTAGTGATAGTAGCACTCAGTCATTGCCAGGGCTCCCGATTATGGCATTGTTATTTAATGGGAACCCTTTTTAATCATAAATAATGGCATTGGGCAGCTAGTGTCATCGCATACATTATGTCATGTACTGCGCACAAACAATAAATAAGAGCATAATGTAAAGCAAACCAACACCATGTTAATGGCCTCGTCGACAGTCTGAGCTGACCAATACTCACCATTTTGGCGTAAGAACAGCACCATTTCTAATGTAATTGGCTGCAAGCTGTGGCGCTCTTGCCCGTACGTCGTCCTGGTGACGCTAAAGAACCTCTCAACAAGGTTAGAAGTAGGTGGAATGCAGCTCAGCAGGTTGTACCGCGGCTGAACTGCTGCTCAGCGGCGACGTTTTTGTAGACTCGCCACGAATGAGCCTTCGTCTCCACTTTCCTTCGCTTTGCTGCAGTGTGTGCAGGTTCTTCTATTTCTTCCACGCAGCGGAAGGGCTGCAGCACTGCCTTATCGGCCCTCGTTAGACTTTGGCTCCCTCCCAAGACACGCACACAGTAACCTGGGCTGGCGTGAAGGTGGCGTTGCGGGGGAGCGTGGCAAGGACCATAGTAGCTTATTAATAGCGAGGGGCTTTGATCGAGTTGCTCAAATTAAAAAGTGAGGACGTGAGCAAGCTGTGTCGTATAGCTGGCTTAGAGAAGTGCTGGTAGCAGAGAGTTTAAGTACAGTACATGTAGTGACAAGTCATGGTTGGTTGTGAGAGGTACATAATGATAAAGAAGTTTTGCTCATAAATTATGTCGGATGATTCCTTAAGCAAATAAATTATTAATAACATCCAGGTAATCGAAGAAATAAATAATTTTATGATTTCATAAGGAATAATTGAAAAGACCATGCCATAATCGGGAGCCCTGGTCATTGCTAAGAGGCAGCGCTCCAGCCGGTCGTTCCTGACGTCGTCGAGCCACAGAAAACCACACGCAGATTGAGCAATGTTAATTTCTATCTTGAAACGACGTCCCCATTTGAAGAACCCGGGCCGTAGGCCCACGTAGTACCAAAAAGAGCTCTACGTGACGTAGAGCGCTTTTTCGTCGAATGGACACATTGCGAGCATTTATGTCGCGCATCTGGATACTGCACAATCATACTTACTTGTTTCTGCGCTGAAATACCACCTCCTCATCCTCGCAAATCAGCCTCTTTTGGTCGTTGGACCACAATTCCAAGTACAGGTCGCTGTCCGGCTTGTGCTCCCGGGAATAGTCTCTGACGGTCGGAAAGCAGCATATTCTTACCGCGAGGTTGATAATCAAAGTAGCTCGGTGGCGGTGCTGGTCTCCGCGGCGTGGCAGCGGGTGGTGTCTGGAGAGTCATCAAGCGAGTCAATGTGAATTTTTGCTCCCCGGCCGAGCCTTGATGCAAATAATCTTGAGTCAGACGGGCTCATGGACATCTTTATGTTGTGTCCTTGATGTCACTCGACGCGGACCTTCGTTCCAACTTGGTTTGCGACTCTTCAAGTCGGCTGAGCTTTCCGGTTATGCCACACATCAGTGTCAGGAGCTCATTTACTTCGTCAGTTCGGACGGGTGGTGTTTTCCCGTCAGTGTTAATGCCATTCCACTTTCGCCAGTCATAGCGGTATCATCTCTCCTCTCGCGCGATATGGTTGTGATCTTGCCTTCTTTGCCATCTGCCATTCCGATCCTTTCGCGATCGGTGGCGAGTCCAATAGCAGCGCCGCCATTCTCGGATTCGTCAGAGATGCCGTTCATTTTTCGCAACACCATGGCGCATATATATTACCGTATTTAGCAGTGGTGGATGGTTTAAACAACGGAAATGCTACAGTCCATGCGTCAAATCCGCTTATTTTCCATGTAATACTCCATGTAATGTCCATGATGTAAAATATTTTCATTCGGTAATTTATAAAAACAACCCAGTCGTTAAGTGCAATTATTGTCCAACTCTCATCCGTGTATTGTCCACGATGTGATCTATGTAGTTAATACCGGTACAATACTGTATACCGGTAGTTGTACCAATCACACCAGCCTTTCATTTGCTTTTCAAACCCAAACTCGCCCCCCTTCGAGCATTGCTGCCGCCGCCGCTCCGTTACCTGCACGCCGCAGCCTACGTCACGAGATCAACCGTTGCTGCAATCGCCGGCCATGTCGCTCAGTCTACCCGCTTCCGCGACGTCTGAGGTGCGTTATCTTGCTGTTTGTGGTCTCTGTGAACGTGTTTCTAACCGTGCGTTATCTATTTGTAAATACAGGGTGGATCGTCCGACTCCTCTTCAGACCTCGTCAAGAAGGATGTGGACAACATTGTGCAACGTGTTAAAGCAGAGATAAGAGGAGGGTTGAATGACGACGACGCTTGCGCCGCAACTCTCGCGGAATTCGCAGCTATTGACGGTAACGTAGTCACGGTGGACGAAACTGATGCGGGACACTCTGGTGTGATCAGTATGACTTCCAGACATATGCGCGACATGGTTACTAGGTTTCCAGAGCTTTTGCTTGTGGACTGTACCCACAAAACGAATCGGTAAGTCCTCCCATGTATTGTGTAATTATTTGTCCATGTATTGTCCATGCTTATTTTAATGTCATGCCCATGTATTGTGCGATTCTTGTCCATGTAATGTGTATTAGCTACAACTACCAGCTTTGTACCTTCATGATGATAGACGACAATGGGCGTGGGCAGCCTGTACAACAGTCTTTGCTCGAACGAAACGCCGATTGGCAGATGTCCCGAGCGCTGGATCATCTATTTCGGATTGACGATAAGATTGGCGACAAGGTTCAAGTTATAATGGTCGACAAAGATCTGAATGAGATCCGCGTGTTGCGTCGGTACTTCCCTAAGTCGCGCGTGTTGATTTGCGTCTTTCACGTCATCAAATATCTCCGCACAGCGTCCAGGAAGCCAGAATATGGTAAACTTTCGTCGGACGATCACGACGCCATCGACGCATTAGTCCACAACATGGTATATGCCTTAAGTTTCAGAGATCTACGAGACCAATTGGACCTCCATGAAGGCACTTTGCACTAGGGACTGGGATATATGGGCATTTTACAACTCCATGGGATGAAAACTGGGAACACTTGTACGGAGATGTGGGTCATGTACTAGCGCCTCACGGTTTGCACATTTGCGCGTCGACACGAACAACCATTTAGAGAATTGGTTTGGGCATTTTAAGGACGGGGTAACTCCAACATGACCATGACGGACACCGTGAAGGCCCTTGTGGGTGCTGATGCCAGGACTTCCAGTGAATACGTGTTCGACAAGACTAGGATCGGGTTACGTGTCAACCGCAACTACGACGAGGAGATGTGCCAAGTTTTGCGCTTTACGACGCATTTCGTAGCAACACACGTGGAGAAGGAGTACGTAATGGCATGTTCGAAGGTCGACAAGTTCAATTTCGACTTAAAGTCAAATCCAGGCTTCGTGGAGGTGACGGGTAAACACAAGACGCATGCTGTGGATTTGAAAACGTGGAGCTGCACTTGCTCGTTTGCTTCTGCAATGCGTCTGCCTTGTCAACACGCGATCGCGTTTCGGAAGTGGAGTAACGCCCCAGGAAGCGTAATACCGCTGAGTTGCATCGATGAACGGTGGGTTAACTCACAATTTATCCACGTATAAGCCGTGAGTTGTCCATGTAATATCCAATATTGATGTTGTACTGAGGGTCTGACATGTCATTCATTTAGATGGTTACATCCTGCTGAACAACCGATGACTCCGCGGCCTTTTGTGCTTAATGAGTTTAAACCAGGGGAGGCGAAACACAAGGTGCTTGACGCTAATGTTAAGTACAAAGGAGGCAGTCAGCGCGTTCCAGGCTATATGCAGTGAGCTAGCCGATATCTCTGATGACGACGAGTACCGTGAGCATTTAGACTTCGTCGTGCAACAATGGAGGAACATTAGGCAGCGCAAACGTGTAAAGGTTGAAAAAACGAAGGTTCCAGTCACGAGAGAAGAAACAGAAACAGATGAAGTGACCTCTCCAGTGACAACCAGCCGAAATCGAACCGGAACCAAGCCCGAAATGGAGCAGCTTGCGCTTGAGACCACTCCTGATGACAACGAAGAGAAAAATACTGATAGTGGATTGCGCATCCGTCTGAACCCCAAAGCTGCGAAGTCTGGTAGGCCCCGGTTGAACAGAAAGGAGAGAGAAGCAGACGACAAGAAGAAACGAGCGTTGTTTAACGAGTCAGAAGCCCATAGAAGATGTCTTGGAGAGGTGACATTAATACAACTTGCGCGCAGTCTTCAACTTGAGAAGCCTCCACTTCAAGACACTCTACGTCGTGTTCTACCACTCCAAACCAAGTACAACAACGCGGGTAGCAAGAAACCCAAGTACACTAGAGAGAGTGCGCCTGTGCTGAATGAAAACGCGTTCTACCTACTTCCACCCAAACTGTTGGACAAGTGCGTTGCCGTGCTGCCTGTGAGCAACACCAATGAAACAGCCATCGATGTACTCACCCAGAGTCAAACTACACAAAAAGACGAAGAAACATCTACAATACCTGGAAAAATCATGGACAGCAACGGACAAAACCCGGAGATCGAGTGTGTCTACATCGCGGGTATCGGAACATTTTCACGCGAACAGATTGAGGCCATGGCATACTTAGCAAACGTGAAGCGTTCGCGTGATGATGGAATGGCGTTTACCAAATGGTTAACACAGGATGCAGCCAGCGCCATACCAGCAGCACAACAATCGACACTTCAGAGCATGGCAGAGGCCATTGCTCGCGCCTATCCCCAAGATATCATCCCAATTGACGGCAACGATTACCACTACGCGATGCTGTACCGTCTCAAGCCGCCCCAATGGGCTAATGATGCGCTGATTTTGGCTTTTTGCGCGAGATTGTACAGGGCGGGCACCGGCGTTCGCATCGTCGGTGTCGAGGCAGCCTCGGCGTCAAAGAAGAAGAAAGCTATGAGTGAAAAAATGAAGACAAAGGTTCAGGAACTACTCACTGAAGCGGATGTACTGCTCATTCCTGTAAATTTTGGGAACATGCATTGGTGTGCAATGATCGTGGATGGCAAGCAGAACAATGTCCTGTACTACGACTCAATGAATCTGAAGACGTACAAGGACGTACTGGACCGCATGTCGTGGGATCTGGCTACTACGCTCAGCGACGACTTCAAAGTTGTGTTCGTCAATGGACCGATCCAGACAGACGGATACAACTGCGGATTCTACGTAATGTTGAGGTTTTGGCTATATGTAGACAAGAGTGTGTCGCTGGACGTAACTCCGATTGGTCTAACGCTGTTACGCTTCCGCATCCTTCACTTCGTGCTTCACGGTAGCAAGCCATAATGCAACTAATACAATCTCATTTCTATTGAAACTGGAATCGACCCGCCTAATGTTCATGCGTATGGTTGACCTCCTGACTTCTGTATACCGGTATGTACGAGAGATGTCAGAGGACTTTCGTTTGCGAAGGTCTAACAACTTCCATTCACTATGGATTTTAAAAACAGTGGTAAGTAATTTATTTCGACACATGGACATTACATGGAGTATTACATGGAAAATAAACTGAGTCGACGCATGGACTGTAGCATCGGCCTTTAAACAACACGAATGAAATTTATAAGTTTATCAATTTTTTAGGTCCTAAGGCCATCTCCACCGCGTGGCAGCAAATCTAGCAGCAAACGTGTAATATAACCTATATGTGACCAGTTGCTGCCGGTAGCAAAAACGCTGAGTTCCACCGCGCAGAAGCAAATTGGCGCCTCTTCGGCTCAAGATTCAATCTGCCCCCCCCCCCATCCGCCATGGAGTCGGGTGATGAGGAGCTGGAGAGATGCGCTAGTGACGGGGAAGACGAGGTGAGCTCGTGTCCGCCCTTACTTATCCACTATAGTGTTAACGCTTGTTCTGTACGTTATACTATATGTATTGATGCTTCTTACTCTCGCGCAGCGGATAGCGCCAATAAAGCGCAAGCGGGGAGGCTCTGTGCCAGGAAAAGCTGCGAACATCCAGCCTGACTTTGACGAGGCTCACAACAAGCTGTGGAAACTGTACTTCGCAGAGAATCCACGCTTCTCTGCAAAGTACTTCCGGCGTCGGTATCGAATGCGACGATCGCTCTTCATTCGCATCATGAATGCTGTTGTCGCCAGAGATTATCATTTTCGCCAGCTACAAGACGCATTAGGGAACAAGGGTATGTCTTCTCTGCAAAAGTGCACGGTGGCGATGAGAATGCTTGCCTACGGATGCATTGCGAGTGCTTGATCTTCACCACTTATCCAGTTTGGCCCACGCGTGCCAGGCTTGGACGTCATAGTCTTCGTGTGCCGCAATGCAAATATTTGAGAGGCGCGAATATTGTCTGGACGAAGTGCACAGAAATCCGAAAATTTTCATAGTTTATCTACGACACTTCATTGGGACAATCTTTTTGCTGCTGGGGAGCAAAAGTCAGAGCAAATCGGCTCGTCTTGCTCCCGCGAAAGCTGCTCATTTGCTGCTGGAGCTATTCTGCTCCCGCGGTGGAGCGAGACCGCGGTAATTTATTTTTAGTTTTCTGCCACAGCAGCATTTTGCTCCCGCGATGGAGACGCCCTAAATGATATATTTTGAAACACCTATTTTGAATTGAGCCTTTTTGTTTTGATAATTCGCTGAGCTAATATATTACCAGGTTTTATTAAATAAATTTTCAGGATGCTAGCTCTGATATAAATT